GGCATCCCGCTCAGTTCACTGATTCCACTGATGGAGAAGGAGCTGGGTGGGACGCCAGTCAGAGTGTCACAGATTGCTAAGAGCTTTTAGCTCTTAGGACAGCTAAATGTATTGAGGGGACTAGGGAGGGAGGCTAGGGAGATTTTGTAGCAAAGCTGAACTTGTACTTTAACTCTGTTTTGCATCTCAGTGTCAATATATTGCATGTTTTGCAGGCCCCTGGATATAGCATGTATTCCATGACAGTCATTCATATTTTTAATGTCCAGAATACTTGAAACCTTGGCTGAAGCCAACTCCTTCCTATGACTTCTCAGCCTCTCCTCCTCCTAAATACTGCTAGGCAAGGAAGGAGTCATGGAGAAGTCTTTGCTAGGATATTAATGAGGTGAGTACTGATGTAGAATCTGGGTTTGTTGGTGGGATCTCCTATAAACCTACAGTATAAGACATCCCATAAGACAGCTGGTTGATTGCTAAGAAATATTGTAAAGCTTGTAAAGCTTTTTAAGGTAAAGTATGATAAAAAAAAATATCTTGCATCACAAGTAAGTTTTAAAAACGGAAAAATCCTCTTTGAAGCTGAACTTTGGTAAAACATGAAAATATGGTTTTGAAATATAGATGTGTGAACTATTGTAATTGCCAAAATACTGCATGTGTGATTCTATTCAGCTAATTGTCTGATTCACAAACACATGCCATAGTGCATAGCCAGCTGGGTGACACCACTTTACCTGTTAAAGTCAAGGAATGCAGTCGTGTCACCTTCTCCTGATGTTCCAGCCTGCCTCCAAATTGGAATTGTTGTGTGGCTGGGTGGCACAAGGTCTTGTCATTATGGCAGACTTCCATCTGGCCTTGCCCTCCTCCAGGACTGACATCTCTACGATCCCCATTGACACTCTTTCTGCCACTACTATTTCCAGCCCAGCATCTTAGCTCTTTAGCCATTGGGTGACAACTCACAATGTAACCCCTATATATGTGCACTGGACTTACTTCCTCTGGGCACCCAGCTCCATTCTCAGCCGTGGGTCTGAGCGAACACTGAATTGCATATACACAGAGCAAAAATTGCTAGGAGAGAGGAGAAATAATCTTGTTGGCAGAAGAAACATGCAAAGTCTCTTCTGCTAAAAACCTCTACCCCTAGTGTTTTTTTTAAATGTAAAGTAACATTTATATAGCTTTTAATACGATTATTATTCTTTTTCTTTAGAACCACCGGATGAAATGAAGGTCAGGAGTCATAGCACAGAACCCTTACCAAAGCTGGAAAACAAAGAACGATCTAGTCACCATTCCTCACCATCCTCTAGAGAGACGATAAAAGCTCAGGAATGGGATGGAACTCCAGGCCCAACTCATGTTTCCAGCCGACTTGGAAGATCGTCTGTCAGTCCAACCATGCTAGCAGGAAACAATAACACGGGTGGGAAATTTATTTTCTAGTTATTAAAATTCTAAATTAAAGCATCAGTGAATCTAAAATAGAACTTTATTCATATTATTATAATTATTACATATGAATTGCCATTATAATCTGTAGTGCTTTACTGCAGGGTCCATTCATTGCTTACAATACATGACAATAACTAAGCAAAAGTTAAGCACAGCCCTATCTGGCAGGGGAAGAGACCTGATTTTCTATGCTGCAGTTCAGTATAGGGATGCACCGATACTGTTTTTTCAGGATCGAGTAAAAGTACTGATATTTTTTTTTCAGTACTCGCCGATATCAGAAGTCGCATTAAGGGAGCCGGGTGATGTGTAATGACTCGTCACCAGGTGATGAGGTAGCATGAAGCCAGCTTTCTGGCCAATGAGGAAGCCGGGGGGGGGGGGGGG